AATATACTCATATATGAAATGGATTTTAGAACAAGGATATACAACTTCCTAATAAATGAAAGGGCCTCTTAGGAATCAGGAAATCTAAATTATGCCACTGAGTGTATTGTTGATTGGCTTCAGGAACATCAGTAAATTGCTTTGTGGAGTTCAGCTTTTTCTTCTGTAAAAAATTTGACTGAATTTATTAAAATCCTATCTAACTCTGTGGTTTTATTTTTTGCTTCAGTAGTTTTCAGAAGATTGCTGATCGTAATGCCTTCTCAGATTACTATGTAACTACGTTGTAGAAAATGAAATATTTTGTGCTGATGATATTTGATGTTGAATACGCGTTACATGATTTATTATAAACATTGCTGCTAAAATCTTCATCTCCAAAATGTGTGGGAAGAAGCCAATAAACTGAGGCAATCTTGGTTCTTATAGTTCTATTGCCTATTATTTTAAATAGTGAAAGATGTCATTTTCCCCCCAAGAAATTCAATATGCTTTATAGGTATTGTATGAAAATTACGTTTTTGCTAAATTTAAACCTAGTTAGAAGTGTTAGGTACATGGTGCTCAATACAAGCTGTAGAATGAATAGATCAATTAGAATGAAAACTCTGTAATTAATTTTGAGTAAAATATTTTCCAGCATAGATTTTTGTATTTGATTTAAAACTCTGCTATCTATGGTTTAAACCAAACCAAACCAAACTGCTTGTCCCATTAGAGTAGAACTGACCCATAGGGTTTTGAAGGCTGTAAATCTTTATGGAAACAGACGGTCTCCTCTTTATCCCATGAGTGGCTGGTGGATTCAAACTGTTTACCAGTTTCCATTAGCAGCCAAGCACTTGACTACTCTATTATAGGGATTCTTTCTTATGTTTGCATGATTGTTGATTTGTACTGTCAAGTCCAGACCAACTCCAGTGGGTTTTCTAGTACAGCAAATCACACAAGAGCTGATAGCCCATCCAACCAATGGGGGATTCAACCTGTGCACCATTGCGTTGGCAGCACAATACCTTACCAATAATCCACGAGAGCTCCTTTTACATGATCATTGTGTACTGTTGAGTTGGACCATCCCATAGCTGACCCTCTAGCAGTTTTTCAGAGACAGTTAAAATTCTATGGGAGTTGTTCGCCCATCTTTCTCCCACAGAGCAGGTAGAAGATTTTAACCGCATGTCTTTGAGTTGGCATCACAATTCCTTACCACTATGCTACCAGATAGAAGATTATGCTACTAAGCTAAAGGTGGGTGATTTTAATCTGTGGCCCTCAGGCCTGGTTTTAATTGTTTTTGATCAAACATTCTTCAAAGTGGTATAGCACTGGTCTGTCCCTTTGCTGTACAGAGGTAACTTGTGGTTGCTATGATGCTAACCACTGTGACACTGATGTGTCACATGTGATAATGGTTACCCATGTGGACAGTTTGGTGGTGCTCCCCAACTGAAACAAGCTTGGAAGCAGGGGTAGCATCCACCTCCAAAATAGCTTGCCTCCGGAAACTTACGAATTTGAAGAAACTATGACAGTTATACAAGTGTTCAGGTCTTTCATTCATAGGGTTACTGTGAGTCGTCTACTACTCAATGGCACCTAATGAAAACATGCTACCGGAACTCCTTGTTGTTGCTGTTGTGTACTGTTGAGTTGGAACTGACCCACAGCTGAGCCTCTGGCAGGTTTTCGGAAGCAGTTAATCACCCGGGAGGAGATTGCCCATTCTTCTCCTGTGGAGCAGCTGGTTGATTTGAACTACATGCCTTTGGGATCACAGTGCAATTTCTTACCACTAGGCCAGCAGAACTCCCTTGTACATGTAATTTATATTTCTTT